AAGAGAAGAGAAGAGAAGAGAAGAGAAGAGAAGAGAAGAGAAGAGAAAGGTTCATTTAGTGATCATTCAAAGTTACAACAGCATTGGAAAAAAGTGACTTATGACCATTTTTCACACTTACAACCGTTGCAGCATCCTCATGGTCACATGATTAAAATTCAGACACTGGCAACTAACTCCTATTTACGATGGTTGCAGTGTCCTGGGGTCATGTGATCAGCTTTTGTGACCTTCTGACAAGCAAAGTCAATGGGAAATCCAGATTCACTTAACAACGTTACTAACTTAACAACTGCAATGGTTCGCTTAACAACTGGGGCAAGAAACTGGGGCAAAACTCACTTGACAAATGTTTCACTTAGCAACATAAATTTTGGGCTCAATTGTCCTCATTTGGCAGCTAGTGGCGCGGCACAATGATCCATACACCACTGTATTTGTCCTTCTGAATTGTGCCCACGCAATTGGCATTTTACATAAGGTTTCTGTTTATTGTAAGCTTCACCCAATTGCTGTATGAACATCTAAAAAAGTTTACAAACCATAAGAAACCTAAAAATCAGATCTGTTTATTTCCTGCTTGTTATCTCAACTTTGCAGTTCAGCATGACATAAACCAAACAGCCTTGTGACAGATGGAGATGAATTGTCAGCAAATTGTCAGGATGCAGATATTATTGCAATGCTGGGAAGGGCTTCCTGGGTTGCCATCAACCCACAGGGAGGTCCTTCATTCTTTTCCTCCGCTGGGAAATTGAAATTAAAATGCTGCTTGGGAAACTGAAACCTAAAAATAAGATATAAAGGACTGGGTCAATATTTAATAGCTGGAATGTGTGGACTTTTTTTTAAGCCAGTGTACAAGGAGCAGCTCAGGAAGGTTTCGGCAAGTCCTTTAAGTGAATGAAGCGTACTAGCTTCATTTATTAAGAATAACCTTATTTTGTTTCCTCTGTTGGTTTACAAGGTACCAGGTAGTTTGGATTTTAATCATTTCCTTTTGGGTTACAGAATTTTTTGAGCATAGTGAGGGAAATCAGAAGTTCTCGGTTGGCTTGGGGGAAATATGTTCAGATTTGGTACCTGGGCTGGCTAGAAAACAGTACTGGTTGGAAACTTCAGTTCTGGGGATAATGGTTGGATGGACTTCAAGGCATTGGATCAGCAGTCAGAAGTTCTTAGCTGTAGAATGTATTTTCTTACCAGAGTTAAGGGGCGTGCATAAGCGCACCAACGTGCCTACTGTCCCTGCCCTAATGTTCCTTTTTATTTGTATCCATTTCATGTACTCACAATCATGTTTATACATATACATGTTATCTAATGCATGCTTGACAAAATAAATAAATGCATAAAATAAAATTTCTGTTTTTTACTTACAGGTGCATTCACAGCAACGATGGGTGAGAAATAAGACCAATTAATTTAATTCTTAATTAATTAATTAATTAATTTTCTAGTCCTAAACATGTTGTCAACCTTGTATGATATATGATATGAGTTACAACAGCTGGGTTCACTTGGCCATATAAAAGAGATAAATACTATTTTTAACACCATATTAGAGGCATCCTAGGTAGGAGTGTTTGAGTGCGAGAAGTGTGTGTGTGAGAGAGAGAGAGAGAAAAAGAGGGAGGGAGAGGGAATGAGAATGGCAATTGTACACACGTCAGCATCGCCCAACCATGGAGGAAAAGGGGAAGGGGAAAATGTTGGAAAAAGAGAAAGAAAGGGTGTTGACTTCTGATTCCCTTTGAAGCAGTAGAATAAGATAATAATATCAAACCTCAACTTTTTACTTTTACATAGTAATATAAACTAGCCATTTCTATAACAACCTAAATCCTATTAATCAAAATTTCATTTTTTTTCCCCACCTCAGACAGAAGCAGTTTCCCAAAAAAAAGACCCAGCAGGTTTTCTAGGCATAAAATGAAATTAAGCCCCTCCACCCAAATTTAGGCCTATTTTAAAACATACGAAATGGGGGGAAGGGCTGGGGGACTTGCCGTTAGGAGCGCCCCGCAGGCAGCAATTCCTCACCATGAGCTGCTCCTAATGGGTGATCATGGCAGAGCACGGAGAGCTCCCTACTCCTGCCAAGCACCTTTGTGGCAGACCCAAGACCTTCAGCACCCACCGCTGTTGATTTCCCTTCTGCCCATGCCGCCGCCGCGTTTGGAGCTGCCACTTCCACATTTGGAGCACCGCTGCTGTTTGGAGCACCACTGCCATTTGGAGCTGCTGCTTCTGCATTTGGAGCTGCTGCTGCCTTTGGAGCTGCCGCTTCCACGTTTGGAACCCCACCGCTGTTTGGAGCACTGCCGCTGTTTGGAGTTGCCATGTCCGCATTTGGAGCTGCCACTGCGTTTGGAGCTGCCGCTTCCACGTTTGGAGCACTGCTGCTGTTTGGAGCACCGCCGCCATTTGGACCGCCGCCACCACTCCAAACACGGTGGCAGCTCCAAACACAGAAGTGGCAGCTCCAAACATGACAGCGGTGCTCCAAATGGCGGCGGCACTCCAAATGGCAGCGGCACTCCAAACACGGAAGCGGCAGCTCCAAACGTGGCGGCGGTGCTCCAAATGGCGGCGGCACTCCAAATGGCAGCAGCACTGCAAACACGGAAGTGGCAGCTCCAAACGTGGCGGCGGTGCTCCAAATGGCGGCGGCACTCCAAATGGCAGTGGCACTCCAAATACAGAAGCGGCAGCTCCAAACGTGGCAGCAGAATGGGCAGAAGGGAAAGCAACAGCAGTGGGTGCCAAAGGTCTTGGGTCTGCAGCAAAGGTGTTTGGTGGGAGTAGGGAGCTCTCTGCGCTTCGCCATGATCACCCGTTAGGAGCGGCTGGTGGCAAGGCTGCCTGCAGGGCGCTCTAGATGAGGATGCAAGGGGGGGAAACCCTGCCGACCACCCAGTAGCCCACCACTGCTACTATTGGTCTATGAGGTACCGGGCAATTTAGGTTTTACCCATTTATCTTGGGTTTATATAACTTTTTAAGCATTGTGTGGGAAGTCAGTAGTTCTCAGGTGGCTTGGGGAAAATATGTTCAGCTTTTGCACCTAGGTTGGCTAGAAAACAGTACTGGTTGGAAGCTTCAGTTCTGGGGATAATGGTTGGATGGACTTCAAGGCATTGGGTCAGCAGTCAAAAGTTCTTAGCTGTAGAATGTATTTTCTTACCAGAGTTAAGGGGCGTGCATAAGTGCACCAACGTGCCTACCGTCCCTGCCCTAATGTTCTTTTTTATTCGTATCCATTTCTATATCCATGTATGTATATAGTCACCATGGATGAATAGGCAGCAATATAAATTCAAATATCTGACTGGCACATATCTATTTCCTTAGGACTGCTAACTGGGGTTGCCATTGGGCTTGGTAAGTTGTTTCTTTATGGATTGTCATATTGGTGGGTGGGAGAGTTTTGCATTAGAGGAGTTCCCAGTTCAAACAAGATGTTTAGTTTGGAGAAAAAAGAACTCCAGATTTTGGGACTCTTCCTAGTGCGGATGGAACTTAAGAATGTTCTTCCATTATTTTTCCTAGCTTTTAAGAAGCCCATGCACCAAGAACCTGTAGTGCCCAAGTCATTTTTGTTTTAACAAAAATGATTTGAGGATCCATAGGGAGGTTCAAAGCTTCGGTGACAAGTGCAGTCTTCAATCTGTATCAGAGATGGGCAACAGCTGAAACACTCATAGAAGTGTGGGAAATGGTCGTGTCACTTTTTTCACTGCCATTTTAATTCTGAATGGTCACTAACAAATGATTGTAAGTCAAAGGCTGCCTGTAGGTTCCATTTTACCCAGATGGATTCCTGTATTCTATGCAGTAGTGTCGTGCTCCTGTTGGAATCTGATTCCGAGGGAGAGGTGGAACAGCTGACAGGGAGTGGGAGTGTGGCTCTGGTGGCTGTGGAGGAAACTGGGGAAGGGAACAGTCCAGCTGGGCATTCAGAGGAAGACCCAGGCCCACCCCCTCTTCATCGTATGGCACGCGGGGAGGAATGGAGAAGGAACAACATGGGTTATGGGGGAGAAAAAGTCCCTGATTCCCTTCATTAGTTGCAGCTGGGAAAACAGGATAAAGAGGGTGTTTGCGCACAGCTCCTTGCTGGAAGCAAAGCATGGATTATTTTGGTTTGTCAAGTCTTATCTGGGTTCCGGAGTCCTCCCAACTGTGGGTGTTTCGTTATCTTTTGAAGTCTGCAATTCCTTATCCTGCCCTTTCTCGTTAATTGCTGCAACGTGGTTTGTGTTGGTTTTTATTTATAATTTAGATATACTTTGGGTTCGACTGAATTTCTTCCCTTTAAAAACTGTTTTTCTCCAGCCGATGAGAAATGGACATTGGGGGCCAAGTTGGAGGTATTTTAGGGACTTTACCTACTTTTGTGACTTTGTTGCTTTTGTGCCACGCCATGGGTCATCACAAGTGGGATACAGTCAGCATGCCGTTAATGTTCACAGAGCACAACGAGAAGCAGCGTTTTTGTTGAAATATTAGTTTGCTGCCTTCCGTGAGTAAAGTCACTACTGGGTTAGCGTGTAGCTGTTTCTGTTAAGACTTTAAGGGGAATACAGGCAGGGGAAGTAATTTAGAAAGCCAATTTATTGGTTAAAATGCTGGATTGCTTTAAGGAGACATGCATTCACTTTAACTGTGCAGCTGATTGAATGACTCTGGTGAGAAATAAGGTGTGGAGAGAAAAATTGCTAGAAAATGCAGTAAATGAACAAGTGATATGAATTTACTTCAGATCTAGTTAGTTATGTAACTAACAGCATGCTTTTCAGGAACTGCCTTCATCGGTGGTCCATTGGCACTGAGTGCCGTGGGGTTCACGGCCACTGACATTGCTGCTGGGTCACTGGCAGCGAAGATTATGTCAGCCGCAGCCATAGCCAACGGTGGTGGTGTGGCCGCTGGAAGCCTTGTTGCCCTTGCGCAAGCAGCTGGTTAGTATCACTTTTCATTTTTTTGCTCTCTTGCAACAAAACCTGTAGTGACCCAGCCATTTATTATGCCATAGCATTTTGCAGATGATTGTCCCATTTCCTCAAATGCCTAAGTTGTGATTTTGAAAAAAGGGATACTTGTATACTTGTGGGAAGGTGCCAACAGGAACATAGAAACTGAATTTTATTGCTTTGGATGGTTTAAATAAGAGAAAAAGTCAGCCTGGAATGTTGCAACATGCCTTTTTCTCTCGTGCATCATCATCTTCTTTTAACGACTCCATAATCCTTTGCGGGGTGACGTCTGAGCAACTGAATGGAGCTAGCAGAGTATTTAATGGCCAGATGCCTTTCCTGTTGCCAATGCGGAGTTTTGTTCAGCATATATATTCCCATTGTGCCCAGAGAGAGAAATATCTGCCTCTATCTAGGATCAAACTCACAGTCTCCTGATTGTGAGGTGAGAGCTCCACCTCTAGGCCCTTTTCTCTCATGGATAGGCAACCTTTTTTCCCAGGACCACGTGTGACCCACCCCCAAAAAAGTACTCTTTGTGGAGACTTAGCTGACTTTGCATAATTGGCATTAGTGGACAACAGTGTCTTATTGTTCCATGGTGGGAAACCCTAATATAAGTCCTAAAATTAAAACCAAGACAAATCCTTGGGTGTCCAATCATACTTGGCCAATAAAGAATTCTATTCTATTCTAAAAAATGCCAACTGATGGATTGATCTGTGGGTTTGGCCCAAAGATTTAAATCAAGAGTCCCCAATTTCTGTCTCGGTACCTTAACTATTATAACCCACTGGCTCTTTAAATGGTTCAAGAACCAAAGACCCCAGGTTCCTAGCCAGCCATTTTGGTAGATCCACCCTTCTCCAGTATGTAACTTTCAAATAACAATTTGTGCAAAACAGAGAAAGTTTTCTATTACAACTCAGAACAAAAGACTGAGCTGTGGGAGTTCTGTCAACCTGCTCCATGCCAGCCATAATTGGGCAGAAACAAAGCCAGACGTCTCATATAATAACCAAAACAAACCAAAAATATTTTGGAGTATTTTGGCCAAGGAAAAAAACTGAGATTCAGAGCCCTGATAGCAGTACCAGGATATAAAAGACAATTGACTGAGTTTTAAACATGCTTGGGACAAACATCTGATAGAAATGAAAAACGAGATAATAAAATATAAAAATAATAAATAATACATTCATTCATTAAAAAGTAAACAAAAACTCTAGTGGTTGTTGTCCAAACCTGGTACAGGGAATCCTCAACTTACCACAATTGAGCCCAAAATTGGTTGCTAAATGAAACATTTGTTAAGTGAGTTTTGCCCTATTTGATAACCTTTTTTGCCAGTTAACTGAATCACTGCAGTTGTTAAGTTAGTAACATAGCTAAGAATTTCCCTATTCTTGTTACTTGTCAGAATCTTGCAAAAAGGTGATCACATGAATTGTCTTAAATATGAGTCAGTTGCCAAGCATCTGAATTTTTAATCATGTGACCATGGAGATGTTTGCAATGGCTGTAAGTGTGAAAAATGGTCATAAGTCACTTTTTTCATTGCCATTGTAACTTTGAACAGTCACTAAATGAGTTGTTGTAAGTCGAGGACTACCTGTACTGTAGCATTAGCACCAGGGTTCCCTTTTTATTTGGAAGAACAGATGTTCTTATTGAAAGGATGCAACGAGAGATAGGATGGCTTTGTGTTTGTGATTCCTCACAACACATTCCTTTCAAAAATCAATTACTTCCAGGAGTTTTTGAAGGGTGTATTGAGGGCCACACTGGTATACACGAAGCTCTGCATGTTTTTTTTTTTTTGTATCTGGCTTTGAAGAACAACCTAACTGGTCGCTTGAAGTCAAATGGACATCCTTGCAGAAAATATTACACTAATTCTATGAGAAGGGTATTTTTTAAACAAATATTTTCAAATATACCTCTCTCTTGTTTTCTCCTAAACTTAATTGGATTGTTTCTCTCCATCCCAGTATTTAAAGATCTGCCTGCATTTATTTTTTCTATTGTTTTTTCCTGAAAACAAAACAATTGGCAGTTTCTACTTGATCGAATGAACATTCGGAGGGAGGTGGGAGGACAAGAAAAAGTTACTCAGAATAGAGGCCCCACCCTGGAAACATCAAACATTTCTCTTTGCCCAGCTACCCATTTAATCCTTTGATGTAGAATATATATTAATAGTATTCCAAACAATATGTAATTGTAGGATAAGCATTCTTGAAGATATACTGGAACAGAGAATATACAGATCAAATCACCAAGTGCAAAGTAGCTTTTGGGTTAAATATGGCACCTACTGCATCAACAGTGCTCCAGGATGAATAGATCATATGTCCATATGACTGTATTTTAACAGGTGAACATAAAATCATTTGCATTTTAAACAACAAAAGGGTACATGAGAATGAACTTTACACAGCCCAAGATTGAATGATAGTCAAATAGCTATCCAAAACCAAGGTATCAGTGCCAAACCTTTGGGGAAAAAAAAAGCATAACAATAATTAAGAGATACTAAGTTTAGCCACATTTATCCTGCTGAATGTGAAGTTTCAGAGCGCCTTGAAAATAAAGCACTTAGTGTATGTGTATATGCGTGTGTATATTTCTAAATCCCAAAATCTATAGCAAACAATGATTTTCTGGGTGCACTTACATGAGTACTTAAATGGACAATAAACAAGACTGATGTATACTATTTACACATTTACAGTACTTCTGCTTATTTTTCCTAGCTCAATTTGCATAAGATCTGACTTTTAAGTTTCCAAGACATCAAATTCTTTTTTTTCCAGACATTTGTAGAACATTTGATCATTTGTTTTTCATCTTCCTAATTATGTTACATTTTTGTTTTTCACCCTAGGGATGGCAGGCCTTTCTGTCGCTACCAAAGCTGCGATAACAGCCATTGGTACAGTGGTGGGGCTCCTGCTGTAAGAAATGTCTGGAAAGTTCACGCTATCTTTAAGAAGACTAGCATTTAAATACATATTTGTGAACTAATAAGCTTAATTGCTACTAACCAATAATTGATTTATGTCAATCATACTCTGAATAAAATAATTTCACAAGTCTCTTCTTTCTGTTGGCTGATTATCTATATATATAAAAGCGAAATACCACTCACGCATCATCACAAAATCTCCAGAACCATAAAGCCTACAAACTTGAAATTTGGCACGTATGTTCCTCTTGGCTTCTAGGTACTCACTAAGAAAGGATTTTTCAAAATGACCATCAGAGCATTAGTATTTCCTATATTGTTATTATTAACACGCTCTGAAAAGAAATCTGTTCCAACTGCCAATTGCCTCACATTCCATTACCTCAGTTCAAACTGGCAGACGTTCCACTCCTTCACTCAGGAGTGTCTGGGGCTCCTTACAGTACTAATTTATTTTTATTTATTTTTTATTTTTATTTATTTATTTATTTATTTCGATTTGTCAATTGTTTACAAGATAATAGGTATAAGTATATACATAGTTATGAATACATGAAATGGGTACATATAAGAAAAATAAAAGAAACAATAGGACAGGGACGGTAGGCACCTTGGTGCGCTTATGCACGCCCCCTACAGACCTCTTAGAAAAGGGGTACCTCACCAAAATGTCTATGCCTTCCACCTATGGAACTGCTTCCGGGCTCAAAGCGACAGGAGCGATATTCCCTTATGTGTTTCAATCACCAACCACCACTGAGCCAACTGACTGAACCAAATTTCTCCTTCATAGCCCGATCACAAAGTTTTGTCACGAAGCACGGATATCCAGCGAGTACATACGCAGAGCTTCTAGCACTTAAACAAAGAAGTATTTGACACTCTCAACTATAGTTAAGGGTGGGGTTCTTTTTTGGAATTGTAGATATTTGAAATAGGAAAAATTTGGTGTATTGGACTTGCTTTTGGTAAAGGAGAAATAGTATCTGTTGGTTATGTTGCGGTTTATTTACATTGGGATATTGGGACCCTCTCAGGACTTTTAAATGGATTTTGTTGCAATTAAGAGTTAAGATGGGAACAAAGGGTGGGATGCAAATATTTTTACTACCAGTTCTGTGGGCGTGGCTAGGTGGGAGTGGCTAGGTGGGCATGGCCACGTGCCTGGATGGGCGTGGCTTCTTTTTTTGTGCAGCACCCCCTGCTCCATTTTTTTTTACCTCCTGGGCAAAGCAGTAAGACAGCGAGGGGGATCCCGGCACAGCTGATCGTCAGAACAGCTGATCGTCAGGAGGGGAAAAAAAGAAATGCCAGTTCAGCTTCTTACTACCGGTTCGCTCAATCAGGCCAAACCGGTAGAATCCCACCACTGGATGTGAAACGCTGTGTTATATAATGTTGATTATTGTCAAAATCCTAGAGCTCTGCATAGACTTTTCGCTGGTAACTGGATTAAAGATGTTACTTATTTGATTTCCCTATTTATTAAATAATTATTTAAACTTATATAGCCGCCCAATTCACACACAATGACTCCAGGCAACATGCATTAAAAATTCAGTTAAAAATCCACAATTTATCACCCATCCCATGGTGGCAATAATTCTATAAGACAAGCAACTTGATAGGCTCAAGCCTGCTGACAAAGCCACTGTAAGCTGCTCAGAGTTACCTTGAGGTAAGATGGACGACCAGTAAATTTGATGGATGGATGGGTGGATGGGCAGACAGACAGACAGACAGTTTTCAAGGCCTTGTGGAAAAGCAACAAGATGGGAGCCAACTTCATCTCTGAGGGAATGGTGTTCCAAAAAGAGGGAGTCATCAGAGAGAAGCCCTTTTTCTATGTCCCACCATTTCTATCCTACATCCAGGCCAGAATCCCAATCAAAAGGGACCCACGTTATCCATTTCCTCCAGCACCCTTGGCCAAGGGGAGCGGGGAAGAGACCTATATCTCTCTACCAGGTTAAAAGTACTAATATCCCCTTTTAAAATGCTAACCATGAAGCTTAAAATCCCAGGCAACATTACTACAAAAAAGATGTTGAGACCTTGGAAAAAGTTCAGAGAAGAACAAGTAAGATGATCAAACATATGAAGAATGGCTTCAGGTTTTGGGTCTGGCTAGTCTAAGATAAAGGAGAGTTAGAGGCGACATGATAGCAGTGTTCCAATATTTGAGAAGCTGCCACAAAGAAGAGGGGGTTAACCTATTTTCGAAAGCACCAGAAGGCAGGACAAGAAACAATGGATGGAAACCAATCAAGGGTAGAAGCAACCTGGAATTAAGGAGAAACTTCCTAACAGTGAGGACAATTAACCAATGGAACAGCTTGCCTTCAAAAATTGTGGGCGCTCCATCACTGGAGGTTTTTAAGAAGAATTATTTTAGGTAATTAAAAGAAACCTCCTTTTCAAAAACAGCTAGCCTTCATATCTTGTTTGCCTCTAGGCTCGGACGGAAGGAACCCAAGGAAATTCTCCCAGCAAAACGTTTTGCAGTTTGTCCAAGCAACTTCTTTGGCTACACTGAAGAAACCACAGTCAGATAAGCAGCAAACATTTCAAAACCAAACAGGAAAGAAAAGTTAGTGGGGAGACAAATGATTAAGGACTTAATCATTTGTCTCCCCACCAACTTTTCTCTGCTATTAACTATAGTGTGTGTGTGTGTGTGTGTGTGTGTGTGTGTACAGTTTGGGCTTAGCATATTATGTAATACCAGCTATTTTTATTTTTAAACCACAGCTCATGGTTCAAGCATTGTGTAAGATGCAAGCCCCTATGACTTCTTCAATAAATGATAGTTGAAAAAGCAAAGCCTACCGTGTGAAGCATCATCAGTTCTATGATTTTACTGGTTGACTGGCAAGAGGAATAATGCCGCAAACTACCTTGTTTCCTTGGCTCTCATGGGATTAGATAGCGTGTCAGAATATAGAACACATTAAAGCCAAAATTTAGCTTTACAAAACACCACTGTCAGCTGCCGCCTCACTCTCTGCTTGTGCTTCGATGCCATGCGATGAAAATCTGCTATGAACTATGGAGGAGGGGGGAGGGGAGGGGAAAGCAAAACTGACTGCTGTTTGGGGAAAGCAGAAGGAAATTTTGTATCCTCCCCCCCCCCCCAGGCTGCTTGCTGTAGCTCCCCTGAACCCTGTTTCATGACCACCCAGCTGAGAGAAGAATGCTGCTGCATGCCAACCTACACTTGAAGTAACCATTCTCAAAACATCTTGAACGTGATGGTCAGGGATGGGTTGGCAGTGATGGGAGGCAACTAAGGGAGGGAAATGTTGAATTTAGGGATGGTTGTGCGATTCTCAGTTCTGCCTGCGCATTCTATCTAGCAATGTAGGCAAAAGGCCATATCTCTACAACATAGGCCTGAATATGGTCTCTTACTTGTCTTTGGTTAGACTCAGTCTTTCTCCAACAGCCCTCCAGAGGTTGCTTCTGGCATTTTATTTCTTGATTGATCAGATTTATAAGTTTCCGAGGGTTTCTTTAATAGGTTTAAGGTATCTCAGAGCTTGTCCAACAAGCTGTAAAGCTCAAAGAACATGTATGTCCAGTGGTCATCTGCAGCCAACTTGCACCAGCTTGTGAGAGCTAATTGTGAAATTTTCTGGACTGGTCACTTGAGAGCAGAACTAAGCCATAAGACCCAGTATGCCAATCAGCTGTTTGGGGGATAATGGTGTGGCGTTGCTGGTTGTTAAACAACTATCCATACCCCACTGTCCTTCTGAATCGTGCCCATGTGATCGGCATTATATAAAGTTTCTGTTTCTTGCAAACTTCAGCTAGTTGCTATCTGGACATCCAGAATAAAAACTTGCAAATAGTAACAATCTTAAAAACCTGCTCTATTTATGTAACTTTGCAATTCTGCATGATATAAACCAAACAGCCCCGTGACAGATAAAGATTATCATCCAACAGGAAAGTGTCAGGATGCGAATATTATTGCAATGTTGGGAAAGCCCTCATGGGTTTCCATCAACCCACAAGGAAGTCCTTGATTCTTTTCTTCTGCTGGGAAATCGAAATTAAAATGTTACTTGGGAAACTGAAACCTAAAAATAAGATTTGGGGGCTGGGTCAATATTAAACAACTGGAAGGTGCATCATGGCAACCAAGGCAGTTCTACTGCAATACTATTGGCTATCTGTCACTAGCCATGCCCACTGTGGACAGTTTTTAAGCCACAGGGATGGTCAGTGTACACAGAACACCTCGAGTGTTAAGTCCTTCAACAAGAATATCAACTAGATTTAGTAAGAATAAGCTGCTTTTGTTTCTTCTACTACTCAGAGGGGTTGGCAAGGGGTTTGCTGGTCATGAGCGCACTTTGGGGCTGAAACGCAGTTTCAAACAGGTAACTAATCGACTCAGGCAGCTCCAGTGAATACAGCAGGTGGGCGCAGAACTCGCCTGGGCAGCCTGGGCAGGGGAAAAGTTAGTTATTTAAGGAAAGCATAGCACAAGGACAAGTGGCCGGCCCAACCAGAGATAACAACTAGGGGTTCACCCGAACCCTGCCGACCACCCAGTAGCCCACCATTGCTACTACTGGTCTATGAGGTACCGGGCAATTTAGGTATTAGCCATTTATTTTTGGGTTATATAACTTTTTAAGCATTGTGTGGGAAGTCAGTAGTTCTCAGGTGGTTTGGGGAAAATATGTTCAGTTTTTGCACCTAGGCTGGCTAGAAAACAGTACTGGTTGGAAGCTTCAGTTCTGGGGATAATGGTTGGATGGACTTCAAGGCATTGGGTCAGCAGTCAGAAGTTCTTAGCTGTAGAATGTATTTTCTTACCAGAGTTTCTATTTTTTACTTGCAGGTCCATCAATAGAAATATGGGTAAGAACTAAGACATTTAATTTTCTGCTAATGAAGATGTTGTCAACTTTGTGTGATTTAGTTACAGTGACTTGGTTCACTTGGCCGTGTAAGGTGGGAAAATACCATTATTAGTACTTCACATCAGAGGTGGGGTGTTTGAATGTGAGAAGTGTGTGAAGAGAGAGAAGGAGGGAGGGGAGAGAGGGAGAGGGAGGAAGAGAGAGATTGGTGACTGCATACAAGTCATCAAAGCCCAGCTTCTTTTTACCCACATTGTTCATAGAAAAATTCAGTGTTTCTTTTATAACATTGGGAAGCGTGGAATTCGACTTTCCTTGGCAGTGGAACTTGAAGCTTACTATATATGTCAAAAATGTGACTGGCACATATCTATTTCCTTTAGGTCTACTACTAGCAGCCGTACTCGGTGTGGGTAAGTTGTTTTGCTGTATCTCTAAACAATGGGAGAGGAGTTTTGCATTAGAGGAGCAGTTCTCAGTGCAAGCAAGAAGTTTCATTTGCAAAAAAGAGAACTGTAGGAAATTTTGGACCAGAAATCTTCCTAGTGCAGATGGAACATGACAATCCTTTTCCTTTATATTTTTCTAGCTTTTAAGAAGCATATGCACCAAGACTTTGTAATGCTCAAATAATCTTTGTTAAAATTGACAAAAATGATTTGAGCATCCATAGGGAAGTTAAAAGCTTCAGAGGTAGGTGCAGTTTTCAATCTCTACCAGGGTGGGCATCTCTTGCCCCTTTAAGACCTGTGGACTTCAACTCCCAGAATTCCTGAGCCAGAATTGCCTGACAGCAGACAATAAGGGCCTGCTGCTTATAATTGACATTTTTAAGTGAATTGCTACTGTACACTATCAGTTTCTGAGCTTTTTAAATCATGAAAATGAAATTATTAATTTCCATTCTGCAGATAAGGGACATCAGCAGCAGAATGAAAGGACTGCCTGAGGTCCTCCCTACAAGGGAGTGCATGCTGAACGACCACTTGTTCAGCAGCCATTCAAACTTACAATGACATTGAATGAGGGCTACTTATGACGGGTCCCCATAGTTACAGCTGTTGCAGCATCCCCATGGTCACATGATCGCCATTGGTAACTTTCACTGCTGGCTTCCTACAAACAAAATTGATGTGGGAGCCAGCAGGTCACAAATGGCAATCATCTGACCACCAGGCACTGTGGTCTCGTAGTCACCTAGCAGCATCACTTAGCAACAGAATTTCCAGTCTCTGTTACGGCTGGTAACAAGAACTACCTGTAGAGTTGGTAGAAGGAATGGGAGCTTTCTATATAGTCCAAATTTTATGCCACAATATTCACCCTTCATGAGCTTACAAGTATGAAGATCACTTAATAATACCTTGTATAAAAAATGGTTTATTAAAAATCTTTACAGGTACGGGTAGTCCTCGACTTACGGCCACAATTGAGCTCAAAATTTATGTTGTTAAGTGAGACATTTGTTGAGTTTTGCCCCATTTTACGACACTTCTTGCCACGTGAATCACTGTGGTTCTTAAGCTAGTAACATGGTTGTTAATTGAATCTGGCTTCCCCATTATTATGCTTGTCCAAAAGTTGCAAAAGGGGATCCCACAACTCTGGGACAATGCAACTGTCATAAGTATGAATCACTTGCCAGCAGCTGAATTTTGATCACGTGATCACGGGGATGCTGCAAAGGGTCACAAGTGTGAAAAATGGAAAAATGTCACTTTTTTCAGTATTGTTATAACTTTGAACGGTCATTAAATGAACTGTTGTAAGTCAAGAACTACCTATAGTCCTCAGCTTATGACCGCAGTCGAGTCCAAAATTGCTGAGCAAGACAGTTAAGTAAGTTTTGCCACATTCTATGACTTTTTTGCTACTGTTCTCAAGCAAATCACCTTAGTTGTTAAATGAATCATGCAGTCGTTAAGCATATCTGGCTTCTTCCCCCATTGACTTCGTTGGGAGCCAGCTGGGAAGGTTGCAAATGGTGAATCACACGACTTCAGCCCAGTGCAACTGTCCTAAATACATGCCAGATGCCAAGTGCCTGAATTTTGATCATAGGAATGTTGCAATGGTCGTAAGTGTGGAAAATGGTCATAAGTCACTTTTTTCATAGCTGTTGTAACTTCAAACGATCATTAAACCAATAGTTGTAAGTCAAGGATTGCCTGTCCTTTTTATCCCGATAGATTCCTGTATTCTACACAATGTAATGTCAGTCTGCGTGTCGTTCATGTTTACAGAGCACATTAGAAGCAGCTTGTTTTGAGCTGAAGGGATTAGCTTGCTGCCTTCTTGCTGCGTAAAACCACTCCTGGGATAGGTTTTTAGAAAGCCAATGTGTCAGGGTTCCAAGTAATAGATCCATATCAAGCAAAACTCCAAGGCAGGTAGAATAGGTTTATTGGAAATACCATATTGGCACATACCTGGTGAAAACCAACACTGAAGGGCCCCACGGTTTTCACGTAATTAACCTGTTCTCCGGCCGGTTGCTGGGTAGGCGTGGCCATGGTGGGAACTTCTGGGAGGCCTGTTTTTCGCCTTTCCCAGGCTCTGGAAGCTTTCCTTGAGCCTCTAGGAGGCCAAAAACTGCCTCCCCTGGGCTCCGGAGACCCTCCGGAAGCCGGAAACGGGTCCGTTTCTGGACTTCTGGAATTTCTGGGAGGCCCGTTTTTCCCCCTCCCGAGCTTCCACTGTGGCAGCACTGAAGCTCCAGGATGGCTTTGGCCAGGCCAGCTTCAGGGTTGACACAATGTAGTGGTTAATTTTTATTTATTTATTTGTTCATTTGTTTGTCAAGCATATATTAGATAACAGATAGAAGTATAACCATGATTATTAATACATGAAATGGGTACGAATAAAAGGGAACATTAGGACAAAGACGGTAGGCACATTGGTGTGGAGACATACATACAGTCAACCCCTTTTGACCATGCAGCTGCTTGAATTACTCTGGTGAGAAATAAGGTGTAGAGAGGAAAAATGGGTAGAAAATGCAGCCCACAAACAAGTAATGTGAATTTACTTCAGATCTAGATTATGTCTGTGCAGCTGTAACTAACAGCATACTTTTCAGGTGGTGTGGTCGGTGCGCCACTGGCACTAAGTGCCGTGGGGTTCACGGCAGCTGGCATTGCTGCCGGAACACTGGCAGCGAAGATGATGTCAGCCGCAGCCATAGCCAACGGTGGTGGTGTGGCCGCTGGAAGCCTTGTTGCCCTTGCGCAAGCAGCTGGTTAGTATCACTTTTCATTTTTTTGCTCTCTTGCAACAAAACCTGTAGTGACCCAGCCATTTATTATGCCATAGTGTTTTGCAGATGATTGTCCCATTTCCTCAAAGGTCCAAGTTGTGATTTTGGGAGGGGAAAAATGGTATCTATATACTTGTGGGAAGGTGCCAATGGGAACATAAAAACCAGTGGTGATATTCTACCAGTTTGGCCCGGTTCTAGCTTACCGGTAGCGCTGAAGATCAGCTGGCAGATCAGTTCACTCCGAGTCTCTCCGACACTCTGCAGTTGGGCCCCCCACCCACCCACCCCTGCTCCTAGGTCCTTTTTAACCTCTCCGTTGTTTGGCACGGCAGAGCGGATTGCTGTGCTAAACAGCTGAGAGGCGCAGTAGCTTAGTTTTTACTGTTTTAACGTGTCCCCACTTGTACTTGAAATGGCTCAAGAACAAGAATGTTTATGTCATTTTAGTCGACCCCTCCTTTGCCAATATATAGCTTTGTTGCCATCTAGTGGTTTTTCTCCAAATCTGGTACTGTAGCATTAGCACCAGGGTTTCCCTTTTTCTTTGGAATAACAGATGTTTTTCTATTGAAAGGATGCGATGAGAGATAGGCTGGGTTTGTGTTTCTGATTTCTCACAAGACACATCCATTACTTTCAAAAATCCATTACTTCCAGGGGTTTTTGAAGGGTGTAGTCCCAAAGATCAAGATGATGGCCACAATGGTACAAATTGAAGCTCTGCACAGTTTTTTGTTATCTGACTTTAAATTAGATACCTACATAATTAGATAAACCTAATTAGCTTCTTGAGACCAGATGGACATCCATGCAGAAAATATTAAACTGATTCTATGAGAAAACTATTTTTTTAAAAAATATATGTTCAAATAGACCTCTTCCTTGTTGTCTCCTAAACCTAATTGGATTGTTTCTGTCCATCCAGTGTTTAAAGATATGCCTGCATTTACTTTTTCCATTTTTCCTGAAAGAAAAACAAATGGCAGTTTCTACCTGATCAATTTCTACCTGAGCATTTGGAGGAAGATGGGAGGACAAAAAAATAAATTACTCAGAATAGAGACCCCACCCAAATATTTCCCTTTACACAGCTACTCATTTAATCCTCCAAAGTAGTATACACCGGTAGTACTACTAGTACTCCAAGCAATTATAGGACATGCATTTTTGAAGTTATATTGGAACAGAGAATATACAGGTCAAATCACCAAGTATAAATTAGCTTTTGGGTTAAATATAGCATATATTGCATCAACAATGCTCAAGGGTGAATAGACCATATGACTATATGACTGTATTTTAACAGATGAACATAAAATTGTTTGGATTTTAAAATGTGTTCTGAACAAAAGAGTGCAAGAGAATGAACTTTACACAGTGCAAGACTGAACGATAATCAATCAGCTATCCAAAACCAAGATATCAGTGCCAAACCTTTGAAAAAATGCATAACAATAATTAAGTGATGCTGAGTTGAGCTGTTTTTATCCTGCTGAATGTGAAGTTTCAGTCTTGAAAATAAAGCACTTAACTAACACACACACACACACACATACAGAATCTCAAAATCTGTAGGAACTTCCAGGGTGCAGTTAACTGAGTACTTAAGCAGACAATAAACAACATCAATGCTTAATTGTACTTTTTACATTTACGGTACTTCTGTGTATATGTGTAGCTTATTTTCCCTAGCTCAATTTGCATTATATCTGACTTTTAACTTTCTAAGATATCACATTATTGTTTTCAGACACTTGTAGAACATTTGATAATTTGTTTTTCATCTTCCTAATTGTATTACCTATTTTTGTTTTTCACCCTAGGGGCGGCAGGCCTTTCTGCCGCAGCCAACGCTGGGATAGCAGGTGCCGGTGCAGTGGTGGGGCTCCTGGTATAAGAAAGATCTGAAAAGGAGTTCACAATGTCATTTAGAACAGCACTTAAATACTTATCTATGAACTAAGAAGCTTATTAGCCACTAACCAATAAAGGATTTATCTCAATCATAATCTGAATAATTTCATAATTTCACAAGTCTCTTCTTTCCGTTGGCTGAGTATGCATATATAAAGCTGCTACCTAAATAAAGAAGCATTTGACACTCTCAGCTATAAGCCATATAGAATTAGGAGTGGGATTTTTTTGGAATTGTATTTAAAATAGGAAAAACTTTGGTTTTATTAGAGCTTGCTTTTTGTAAAGGAGAAATGGTAATATTAAACCTGGGTTTTCTTTATTTTAGTTACATTGAAATATTGGAACCCTCTCAGGCCTTTTAAATGGATTTTCTTGCAACTAGAAGTTGAGATGTGGAATGTTGAGTGTTATATACATTAATTATTGTTAAAATCCTACATCTTTGCATAGACCTTTTGTTGATAACTGGGTTAAAGAAGATGAAACTTATAATTATGGAAAGTTTATAAGTGTTCCCATAGAAGTATGGTACTTATTTGAAAAGTAATGTGTAAAATGTTCAAGATTTAAATGAATATTAATATTAATGATAGAATTGAATTGGTATGGATTGTTGTTTTAATTATGTTATATATTTACAATTTTTTCTTTTTTTAAAATACATTGTGTAGTTTTAGAATATACCAAGCAGAATCCGAACGGAAGTTATGTATTATATTAAGTGTTATAATTTTAGGGGAAAGATATAAAGGCGTCATACTCCTATCAGTGATCACAGGAGAAATTTTGCTTAATGAGAAAAGATAATAGACAGCTGAAACAGAACAGACAAAGAATATAAGTATTATGATTTGAATTGAGATGAAATAAATAAAATAAAATTAAGAAAGTCAAAAGAGGGGAGAAGTTATATAGAAAATGTAGAATGATAATAAGATATGGAATGGAATATAAAAATGACCATGAACTTGAATTTGTGTCTGCACGAAGAGATGTAACCCGGGATCAGGCTGCTTTCAAAAAAGCCCCTTCATTACATCACCCAGCAAGATTCAACCAAGCCTGGGACTCAAGACAAGTCCTACAAAGTTACTGCATGGGAGTCTGACAACCAGCCAGGATACATTTTTTGCCACAGGAACAGGAAGCAAGTTCAAAGCCCAACAGAGGTTATATATCTCTCTCCCTCTCTCACCCATGTGCTCCATTTTGCCTAGGACCTCAAAACCATGTGGTCCTGTCCTCCAATAAACCATCTTTCCAAATAGCCTCCATGTTTCCAGTGTCTTTCTCCCCACTTGGAACTGAACCCAGATGGACATTTCTTCCAACAGTCCCACCATTTTCAACCTACATCCAGGCCAGAATCCCAATTGAAAGGGGTCCACATTATCCATTTCCTTCAGGATCCTCTGGAGCTGCAGTGCAATTATCTTCTCAACCACCCTCCCCAGAAAGGGAAAATTAGAGGCAAAACAATGTATTGATCTTAATGGGATCCAACAATGATTTAAGAGCACCCTTCAAGGCTTGGAGCAACCCTCATACTCACTCACAAGTCAATTTCCATGAAGGCTTTATTAGCCAGACTGTGGACTGCAGCTCCCAGCATTACACCCATCTTAAAGTGGCCATGGTTGGAGAAATGCTGCCAGAGACTGAGATGACTTTGCTCTTACAGTTACCACTGTTGGAAGAAATATCCTTCTGCCTTTTTAATATTTCCTAGGATATTTCAATTTTCTAGGAGAGGTGTGAATGCCAACTTCCTACACCACCAAACAAAGGCACCCTGAGTCTGCCAGGGAGATTTATTTGTTTTTATTTAGTTTAGTTTGTCAAGCATGTATGAGAAAACAAGTATGAACATAACATCTAAACATGTAAGTATAAACAAGTATAAGTATATACATAATGAATGAGTACGAATACATGGGAACATAGGAGAGGGATGGTAGGCACACTGGTGTGCTTATGCACGTCCCCTGTGCATAAACACGAGATAATAAGAGCGGGCCACACCAAAGTGGCTTCTGAAAATACCAATCACTAGATAATTCAGACAAAGCAAAAAGCATTTGTTAAGCATGTTTTTATTGAGTACAGAAATGATACATTCATTTGATATATGTGACACATCAGAAAACAAATGAACAATAAAAAGGCATTAATTACATGCAGGACTTGAACAAAAAAAATGATTCTAAATAACAGTCCACAAGTGGCAAATTTATTGGTTACATTATTCTTTCCCAGCTGGGTTGGTATCTTTCTTAAAATGTACAGGCATTCAAGACTGTTCAGAATATGCTATTGTTTAGAACTTTAATGAAAAGTTCTGATGTACCAAAAGAAATTACCATGGCCAAACATGTTTTCCTGAGGTTAAAAAGAGACCTATACAACTCTTATCAGATTAAAAGTGCTAATATCTTTTTTAAAACGCTAACAACGAAGCCTAAAATCCCAAGCAACTTTACCACGTCTTAAAGAGAACATTATTTTTACAAAACGCAGCCTAACAAACCAAATGACCAAGGACGTTCCCCCACAGACACGGTTTTAAACGATTTTACATTCTCTTCTTTTTGCATTCCTCCCCCTCCCCCAAAGAATCACTATATGTCATGTTTACGTAGTGTATATTGGAGGTGGTGACTCTTCCAGTCCTGTATGCAACGAAATTTGATTTTATCGTAGGCCGATTAGTGCAGAGGTCTCCAACCTTGGCAACTTTAAGCCTGGCGGACTTCAATTCCCAGAATTCCCTAGCTTTCCTAGCCAGCAAAGCTGGCTGGAGAATTCTGGGAATTGAAGTCCGCCAGGCTTAAAGTCGCCAAGGTTGGAGACCTCTGGATTATACATTCAAAGTGACAATAAAGTTATTCTAAGTCTCATCCTGTCCCAGCTTTGGCCGGGAAACAAAGGCGGCAAAGCAAAACCCGAATCGACCGCGCAGGCGCCCTGAACCCCAAGCGCTCGCCAAATCACGCGAGACCTGCCTCCGTACAACGGTTGCTGGCGAGGCGCCTCGCTCGACGGATGAGAACGCGAGACGCCATCCCGCCCGCCGTTGGTGCGCGCGGCCTGACTCTCGCGAGATTTCGCCACAAGGCGGTTGCCCCGAGTCGTTCTCTTGTTGTGTGTGTGCGCCTCTTTCTCCTCAGCGCCGGCCTCGTTTCAACCCTTCTTGGGCTCGCCCTTCGCCTCTAGCCCTGCGGGCCGCTTCCCTTTCCCCGGAATAACCATGTCTCGCTACCTGCGGCCGCCCAACACCTCGCTATTTGTGCGAAACGTGGCCGACGACACCAGGTGTGTGTTAACTAAGGGAAGCGGGGAAGGAAGGGCGCGATAGGCCTGAGGCGCGACCGGGGGCTTGGTTGCCTCGCTGTTTCCCGCGTCCCGGCCTTGCGCTTGCAACAGCTTCGGGTGGGGTCGCTAGGCGCCCCTTTGCTCCGGGCAGGCCTGCTTGGAGAGGCCTCCTTGGTCGTTTTCCCGCCCCGTGGCCGCCTCACCCGTTCTCCGTTAGATCGCCACTTGGGGCTCGTTTCATTTGTGTGCTAACTTCTCTTTTTGGCGCCAACAGAGACTTAGAAAGAATCGTGTGTAAAATCAAGAATATCGCGTTAGTTGGTGAAATGATAAACCCGTTCTGTGTTTGAGAGATTATTAGGAGAGGAAGAATATTTACATTTTTAACCCCCTTTTTCTTTCCCCTTGCCTGCGTTTCTGCCAGCTTCCCTTCGGTTTTTGTACATTTTTTGCTATTTTTTTCCTTTTCCGCAAGACTGCTGAACGTTTGCTGTATCCACTGCTTCCTTTATTCGAATTTAGCCTCATTAAAATGACTCCTCGGTAATGATACATAATAATTCCAATTTTAGTATGTTCCAAGTCTTCATTTTTTTACTTTAACTTTGGATTATGTTTTGACATTTACATTAAGTTTTATTTTCCCCAGATTCTTCTCTCCTTTCCCTTCCTTAAGACTAGAGAACTTAAGTAATTAATTGAAATCTACAGCAAGTCTATTTTCCTCCCCAATGTTCTTTATTAATCTGCATCTAAGTAAATTGTCAGATTCTGATTATTAGAGTTGGTGCATGAAGTCTTACAGTATTATGGCTTGTAGGAGCGTGCACACACAAAAAGTTCAGCGCACAAAATAAGTTGGGGTTTGGAATTTCAATCAAATGTTTCCAGACCAGTCGTGCAGGTTTTTCAGTTTAATCACAAACCACCTTGAAATCAGCTATTCTGATGCAAGAACTTTTGTATATCTCTAGCTAGTAGCCATTTACAAGCTTGAATTTATTTTCTCCAAAGGTTACATTCTTAATAATATTTGGCATGAATGGCATATTGTTTTAAGTCTTGTTTCATTATATTCTATTAAAAATTGGGTTCTTGCTTCAAGATGGCAAGGGAAAGCTCGTACTTAGTGGGATGTACTTAGCAAAGTCATAGTATTGTACCCCCAAATCTATATGGGTTGATACAACATATATACACATAAGTATCTTAACGTTAAATCTTATTGCAGGTCTGAAGACTTACGTCGGGAATTTGGTCGATATGGTCCAATAGTTGATGTATATGTACCCCTGGATTTCTACACCCGCCGTCCAAGGGGATTTGCTTATGTTCAATATCCTTTCTTCAGATGACTGATTGGTGAGAGGGGTGTTGGAGTTTGAAATTCACGTTTGTGTATGAGGTAACAAACCTAAATGACAAGGCTGTTTTCTTCTGTTATTTGTAATATGTTGTGTGTGTTCCATTCCTTGAGATTAATGCATTAACAAATTTTATACTTTGAAAACTTTTAACTATAGTCAATAATATGTTGCATTATTGTAGCACAGGCCTCATATTTAGATGTGCTTTTAGTATGGAAATGGCATTTGCTGTGGCCTCCAAAGTTTATCATTGCAATTCAGCATATTGGGCATTTCTAGTAAATATATTCTTAATGCTTAGCAAAATGTGACTTTTATTGTTTATTTAATCAAGAACAGACTTGTATAAAATAAGGTGAAAATTCTTGCTCTGATTATTGTCCCCTAATTTACTGTCCTCTGTTGTTGCCTCAGAGTGTAAAGCTGTACAGTAATGGCGACCCCAAAGAAAAAGCATGAAAGAACCTTTAGAGTAGAATTCAAGAATTAAGGCAAGTAGACAAGCCAAAGACCTCTTAAGGATCAGGCTTGAAGAGAAGGGAAAGTTTGGGAAAAGAAAATATAAAGAAAAGCTGGAAGAAGGACAAGCCATAATGGGAGAAAAAGCTTCGCTTTATCTACAAATGGGGGAAAAGGTTGTTTTTCAAAGTGTAAAGATAAAGCCATCTGTCACTTTTGACCAAGCATCTCAAGTCCTTCTGACAAGCACTTAAAGAGTTAAAGGTCAAGATGAAGTTGACTGGTGGCCAAGATAAAAGGAGCCTTACCTGATGTATCCTACAGAATAAGAGCTGTCCTCTTGCTGCTTGTGTAAGTGGTTAACCAATACTTTTTATTCTAATTTAGTTTAGCTATGGCCCTGTAATAACCATGATGTCTATGCATTTAATTAAGTACAATTTCAATTTATCATTACTGATTTGAGATGAGGGTATCTGTAATAAGGTGACATTTGCTACATAGGGTATTTGTAATTTGACACATAGGGACAATTAAGATCACTTAGGTGCTTGCAATATGTAACGAGCTTAATTTTCCAGCATATGTCTTTGTCATAAAATCTTACATAATTTTGCAATGATCTTATTAAATGAATTATTGAAAACGAAAATCATCCATACAGGCAGTCCCTGGGCTAAGAACATCCAACTTAAACTGTAGAGTTGTAATTGCAGGAATGTTCCAATCTCAGATGGCAAACCTCAGATAAAGAATGTTTCTAAACAAATACAACTCAGGCAAACAAAGTCACTAATCTAAAGGAGGATTAGAGAGAGGAAGTAAACATATATTAGACTTTAACTAAAGATAATTAATTGTATTAATTACTGTGCTAAACAGTAACAAAAGTTAAGCAGTAACCAAAGTTAACCAATGATGGAGAATAACTAAAAATGTGTATAAATGCAAGACTAGACTCCAATAAAGATCATCATGATTCAGTTGTTCATGATCAAACAACTCGACTGCCTCGTCATTACAACATTAACCTCTAGAGAGGAACAGGACTAACTGTTACAAAATGGCAGATGTGTTGCAAAAACATTTATTACAGTTTATGGCAGATGGCTGACTAGCAATGTGATCCCATCAAATGGCGGAAAGTGTTCTCCTTTGAGCTGGCAAAGTGCTGAAGCTACAAAAAGATTTCATGAACATTACAAAGTAGTATGTGTATTTTTAATACAGTATATACCTTTTTTTAACAGTTCTTGAAAGCATTGTGCAATTTTAGTAGAAGGAGAACACTGCCTGCCATTTTGAGTTGAATCACTTTGCGTTCAGGACAGTGAGAGATTGAATTCCAGAGGATTCTCCTTGACTTGAGTTTTCCTTGCTGGAAATCTGTCTTCGCCATAACTCAATTTTAAAGTCATAATTTTAAACTTTACAAAAAAAAAACTTTGTAAGCAACTTTGTTGTTCTTGATGTTCACTCCTAATAGGCAGAAGCACAAGTACAATAGCCTATTCCAACCTGAAAACAATTTTGGGTTAAAGACATTTAGGAAAGAGAACAGGTGCTTAACCCTGGAATTGCCTGTATTAGTTTCATCTGGAAAATGCTATACTGTTACTATGTTAAAGCTCTCTAAGAAAAATACTTAAGAGTGAGATATTTTTAAACATTGATAGATGAAGCATGACAATTAAGAATCCAATTTTTTAAAAATTAAAAATTTGAGGCAAATGCAAATTAACATTACTGATATCAGCTAATCTTAGTTATGCTGCAGAACATACAAAAAATGAGGACAAGTTAGTTGCAAGGCTGTAATGGCATTATGGGAAAACAATTTACTAATTACATAGTTGCAAATACTTCAAATCCCCAAGTACCTTAACATCTAGCACATTTGAAGATGTCCGGGATGCTGAAGATGCCCTTCATAATTTGGATCGGAAATGGATTTGTGGCCGCCAAATAGAAATCCAGTTTGCTCAAGGAGATCGGAAAAGTATGTAGTGCATTTATATTTAAATAAAGTTTGTCAGAAAATTAATACTGAAACAGCATATAGAGCTGTAGGAATTATTCTGTCATAGCCACAATACATAAACTTATTTTTCCTCTACACAGATTATTAAAATGTTGCCATATTTGCTATTTACTGTTAAATGATCTGGTAAAAATTATAGTGCAAGATTCTGATTAGAATGTATGATACCTCCAAATTTTACAAGAATATATATTAATGAGGGATCAGATGAGAACAAATAATTGATGGGAATGCTTTTCATGAGCAGTCAGCTGGGCTACATGGACTTTTCCAAATCAATATGAAAAAAATCATATAAAACCTACCAGTTAAATATAGATACAACTCAATAAGAGTGGAAAAAATGTCCTTCCCCTGGCATTATTAGTCTTTTTATATCCATTTAGTGTAATTGTAGTCATATGTCACTCAGCTACCATGGAAGTTGGTTTGAGATATGAAGCAGTTATGTACAGCAAATTGCCCCACTTAATAAACATCTTTTTTATCACAAGCTGTCAGACTATAGGATATAGTGGCAGCGTCAATCTTCACTAGTCTCAGAAAAAAGTAAAACAGTGTCTAATTTGATTATTACTTGCAATGGAGACCAGAAGGAAACACCAGGGTTTTGGCTAGACCAGGAAGTCATAAAAACCTTCATAGAGCAATTAGTAGAGGTATTATTTTAAAAAATGGGGGGGGGGGGGTTGGGTCTACTTTTAATTAATTACTTTTCAACAAAATGTAGAAACATTCTTTCACATTTAGGTATTTAATTCCCAATTTTTTCACCTGTGTGATCAGTAACAGGTTACAGAGGGTTGCTGCAATTAAGAATATCTAATAATGATTGTTAAAAAGTTCATTCAAGGAAAAAGGAAGGTCCCAGAAAGATTTGCACGATGAACAGAATACATTGATAATAATTTCAGAACAGATTGTCAATCTGAAATTCAGATTCATCCAGCACAGTTGAATTGTTGAATTATAATTCACATAACTAAGAATTTGCAAAACAAATCTATCATGGCCACCAGTTTGATCGCCTATACAAGATTTGAGAAATTCATAGTTAAAACTCAGCATGTTGCTTGTAATAAATTTTATACATACTATTATTCCTCTAAATATATATTGTAAATTAATATGACCTATTGCAGATGTTTTGTAGACACCTGGCCATTGAAGAAACAAAACATTAGATTACTAAAATACAGGTAGTCCTTGTTTAATGGCCATAATTGGGACTGGCAACTGTTGCTAAGCAACATGCTCATTAAGCAAGATATTGCATAACTGCAATGAACTTACAGCCTTACTTTCTCTACAATCACGGAGCAAATCTCCATGGATATCACGTGACTGGGAATGTTGCAACATAAGAGGACTGGTTGTAAAAGTTACTTTTTCAAGGCCATTGTAACTCTGCAACTGCTAAACGGCATTAAATGAGGACTATCCATATTTCATCTGACAAGTAGTTTTTAGGGGAATGCAGAGCTAAAGTTTTAAGAAAATAGTGGAAAAGTACAACAATAAATAATGGAACACAGCAGATTATGTGGGTTTATTGAGAGAAAAGCAATATGGATACAAGAAGACAGATTTGAAAATACTTTTTGACAAAGATGATACGGGAGATAGATGCAAAGAAGAAATAGACGTGCTGTGTTTTAATGGAACTTTCAAAAAGAGCAGAATAAGTTATAGATGAGCGCTTCTGCCCTCAGTGTGCAGTTATTGGGATCTAATAAGAAATACTAAGCTTAAACATTAAGCACGTTAGCTTACAAATAAATAAGGGGCTAGATTTTAAGCTCTCAAGTTGATTTTTCTGTCAATTCTGTCCCTGAATTGAGAAGAAATGGAGAGATCATACCCACTTAAATGTGTTCAAAGGCAATCCTAGTTGGACTTTCAGTATCCAATCTTTATAGTAGTCAAATAAATGAAGTATTGTTGCATTAGATATTAATGTTTAATAAAAAAAACTGATTATTTTTTGTCTATAGCACCAAACCAAATGAAAGCTAAGGAAGGAAGAAATGTGTATAGCTCATCTCGTTATGATGATTATGATAGATACCGGCGTTCAAGAAGTCGCAGTTATGAAAGGCGGTCAAGAAGCCGATCTTTTGATTACAACTATCGCAGATCTTATAGTCCTAGAAAGTAAGTGTTGTACTACCTTGACCTATGCTGACCTGTAATGAAGAGGAAACTCATTGACTGTCTGACACCTAGATTCCAAGTCACCTTAGCAGTAACATGCATGGAAGTTGTTATACCTTGCATGAACTATGAGAAATAGTGCATCCTTGAAGAAAAAAAGAAATATTGCAACTGAAGAATCTTTAGTTGGGGGTGTGTGAGTAATTCTAAAGGTATATGCCACTGTTTACTTTTTCTCATGTACCTTTTTAGCAGTAGACCTGCTGGAAGACATCGCCGTAGCAGAAGTCGTTCAGATAATGATAGGTAAACATTCTTTTATATAACACATTCAAAATCAGAAAAGCCTGTGCCTGCAACAATAAGCCATTTTAATGTGAGATAATACAACACCTAATGAGCCTGACCATATTCAAATGTATTATCTTCCTCTTTCTGATAGGTTCAGACACCGTAACACATCTTTTTCAAGGTCAAAGTCCAATTCAAGATCACGATCTAAGTCACCAGCCAAAAAAGAAATGAAGGCTAAATCACGGTCTAGGTCTACATCTCGCACTAAATCTAGAGACAACTCTAAAATGGATTCTAAGGCACATTATAAGTCCAGCTCAAGATATGAAAAAGAATCAAGGAAAAATGAATCAGCTAGATCCAAATCTCAGTCAAGATCGCAGTCTAGATCTAGATCAAAATCCAGATCCAGATCATGGGCTAGTCCCAAGTCCAGTGGCCACTAAACAGTGTACTTTGTTTTTTAGTCATGTGTCATCTAGATAAACAATTGAGTTATGATGTTGCAACATTGCTTTAAAATAATTTTGTTAGTTATCCCTGGAGCAGGCAATTATTACTATTAAAAATACAATACAGATAATCTTACACAATAGAGTCCACTTTGTTAAATGTCTTGGGCAGCTGAGATTCTTGTGTTTCTATGTATATTTTTGTAAAAAAAAAAAAAAAAAAGTATGGTCTTATGCTTCAAATATCAATGGTATCTTGATCATCACCATTTACACTATTACTTAATATCTGCTGTACAGCCAGCAGATTGAGCAGTTTTGCTGTAGTGACTGAGCTTAAAAATGTCAGGGTTGTAAAGGGTTGCTTGTCGTGGACACTTGTGCCAAAATGGTTGGTTCCTTGGGCATCTGAAAGACATTGAAATACTGATAACTTCTGAAGCGATGGTCTTGAGAATAAATTAGAAAAAGCAGAAATTACTCACAATGATTTACTGTGGATTTGTCAAAATCCAGGTGCTTTTCCTAATATGTTAACCTCCAAAAAATACTCAGTTAAATCGTTAAATAAATATTTGTATGCAATGTGGTGGGCTTTGTGAGGTTTAGTGAGCAAATTCCATACGGCTTTTTGCTGCATTAAACATTCAGATTGCACAATGTATAAACTAAACTTCAACACGAATGTCTTTATAAGTAGTTGGCTTACCTATTTAGTACCCCAGGGTTTTATTAGCAGTATTTCTAAATAGAAGCGACAGTTTTGAGTTTATACATCAATCTAACTTTCTCTTCAGATCAGGAAGGTTATTCAATATATGTTGTTTTTGCTTTTGGTAATATTATTTAGACTATGGAAAGTTGCCATGGAATAATCTCAAAAATATTCTCTGGAAGATAATATTGTATTAAGAACATAGCTTTTCTGTTGGAAGAATGAAAGTTGGCAGCAGGAAAATTTAATATCAAAGATGTCTTTTAAAATGCTGGCTGTTCAATAAGCTGAAGGAGTGATTCCAGAATCTTTGTATATTTGATAGCCTAAGTTTTGTTTAGTACTAAAAGTTAATGTCCTGCTATGCAATCATTTATTACTTTTTTTTTAAAGAGTTCTTCCTAATGTAGTTTAAAACAAAGTGTAAAATTGTGTTACTGTGCAGCTCTGGTCAGAAGAAACTTGTGGAAATAAACTTTATATTTTCTTTCTTATAGAGGCTTCCAAAAAAGGTATTTTTATGTTTTTTTAAATACCGGTACTACTTTAAGAAATCACTGTTTTGATTAGGAGGACCAGTTTATATTTTGCTTGCTGTAAATTTAGCATACAAACAAATAAAAAAAGGAAGTAGAAACACACAAATTCTCTACTGTAGTTTTAACTAGTATTGTTTGAGGATGGATATATTCATACTTAAAGGAGAAAACCAATGCTGCTTGTTCAATGCAGGAGCAGTAATTATTTCAGGGCTTCCTTAGCCAATGAGAAAGACAAGTCTAAAATATTTTGTTATCCAGAACAAATTCTGCCTCAGAGATTGAGTCCTAGAGCAGTTATATAAATATTTTATTGGTTTGTATAACGGCTCATCTTGCCAGTTGTGATTCTGAGTGAACTTAAGAAACAAACAAAACCTCAGAACCCCAGAATACAGTAAGAAAAAGATGAGATCTTGCACTAATTTATTGTGCACTATTTTACTAAGTTTGGCTTTTCCACAAAAAGATTAAATTTCATCCATAAGTTAAATGAAACAATAGGCCAATGGAAGTTCTCCTCAATCAGGAAGATGTTGAAAACATACCATGCTCTTAATAACGTCAAATTTTCATTTTATGCTTATTTGGTTCAACATATCCAGTGTACTGTAATCCAGTAATATATAAAGAACAAATTGAATTTGCTCCCATAGTCATTAGATATAGGGCTAATCATAATCACCTTATGCCCAACCGCAAATATTTTAGCACACCTGTACTTTTCATTTTTAACATGATTCACAGCTCAATGTTAAAGCCTCTGCTTTACAGATAAAAAATCTTCCATCTAAAGGTTCGTATTGAAAGAAAACCATTGGGTTACTTGCCAACTATCTGCAGCTATTCATATTAAAACGGAATTCATGCACATGCTTTTTTCTCTTCAACCTCTCGTGTCTTTATGGGCAAGATGTCCCTTAATGCTTACTATATCTGCTTTTTTAGTTTGAAAAGAGTAATATTATAAATAAAGTAGCAAGTCAACACACTGTTGGGGAGAAAGGGTTAAGGATTTTTATTTTAAATTTGTTTCAAATTCATATCTAAGTATATCAAGCATAGAATTTAGAGTATCAAAATTACATCTGGGATACAAAGATTTTCAAACGTTTGAGATATATTTGGGACATAAGGTAATATTTTTGATAAAGTTGTCCAATGTTCTGATGGTTGCTAAAACATTTTGAATATATATGTAGCTGAAATGTGCAACAATGTACATCCAAATACCCCTCACAATTTTAAAAAAAAACATCTTTCATGGCAACTAAATGTTTCATTACCACTGTTGGAAATTTAGCAACATTACACATTTTGTTATGTATGTTTCTGTTTACATAATCTATTTTCACCAAGATACATAGTGCCTAACACATCTGAAATTCTACCAAATTCTAAAGTTGCTGCTTCTAAGAAGAGTTCAGCACAAGTCAAAAAATAATTATGGTATATAATGAAATACTACTTTTAACAAATGACAGCATATAAAACAGCTAAGAAAAGTGCTACAATATAATACATAGTTTAAAAACAAATATTTGAGGGAAAAAAACACTTTATTATATATCTTGACAAATACAAGATGGGGTGTTTCTTTTTGGCATTTTGGACACGAACTGCTAATACTTTGTTTCTCTGCTAAAAATACTTTATACATCCAAAATGAAAGCAACCATCAGAGGGTACATTACAACTGTACACAACAGTTCTAGTATACAGGAGTTGAGGTTTCACTGAAATGCAATCTTACCGCCCAGTCCCAAACACACTTGGATGAAGCAGTTTTCAACAAAGTATATTAGGACTGAAATCTAAAGAATGCATAAACATTTAACTGAATTATCAAGATTTTTTTCTCTGCATTTTAAGCAGAAATTGGACTGCGCCCTTACTTCAAAAAGATATTTTTATCTTTTAAAACGGTACTTTCTACCAAGTTAAATCCAAATTCTCATCTAGACACAGGCTGAGCACATTCTTTCACTGATACTCAAGTGCAATGGCATAGATATGTGCTTTTAAAAGGTTTTTTTAGCAATTTTTTTTTATAAAAATCATGCCATGTATTTAACATGGACTTGTTTACATTCAGCAGTTTTGTACTAAAAATAGTTCTTTTTTGGCAGGAAAGCCCACAATAAATTTACATATGCTACATATTTTACATTTATTTACATGGCTCTTCCTTCCCCTCCATAAAAGATGTTTTTACAATTGTCAAATTCTTTAAACAAGTTCACATAATAGATTACCCTATTACACATTGGCCTTAGCAGTTCAGTTTCAGGAAATGATGCAAAACATACAGAATGCGTATCAAAAACAGCTTAATGAAATTCACTGAAGAAAAAAGATGCTAGAAGCTTTTGGCAGTACCAGTCATTACAAACATTCAAGTTGGCACATTTTTGGGTATCAATTTTCAATGCATTGTAAGGATTGAATAAGAACTATAGATTAATAATGAAAATAATTGGCATGCAATTAAACAAGGGTTTATATATATAGATTGGCATTTCAAATCCAAATTTTGGATTTCAAGTCCCAAGCCTTTGAATGGATATATGCTTGCCCAACCCATCAGTTCAGTGATAAAAAAATGAATTACTTGAAGAAATTAAGTTGCTTTTTACAATTTTGGGTAAAAGCTCAAAAACATCTGATTTTGAACACTTACAGAATCTCACTGTATAGGGAATCACGTTTTGCAATTACACTGCCATTGTGGTTAAAAAATTGTCTGGCTTATATTACTGCATCCCAAAAGACATACCGTCAAGCACACTTTGAGAAAGAAAACATTAATACAATTTGTATAGAGAACAATGACTGAGATTTGGTCTAGGCTATCAAATTATTTTAACAATGCATCTGCAGCACATAAAAATGGATACAGTGCACAGTAACACCCAAAAGTGAACTATTTAATTGAGTATTTCCAAGGAGTGACCTTTCACCATTATACACGATTCAACTACTTTCCAGCATGGTGGCTTAGTTCTGCATGTTGTGCTTTTGTTTGAATTCTGGACTCCAAAATGGATTCTTACTGAAAATTGAAACTATGAAATGTCATTTTCTATGGAACTTAAGCCTGTACTTTCAGTAAGGTCTTAAGTTGAAAAGTCATGATTTCTTTATCAGCAGGGTTAAATGAAACAGTTACCCAGTGGCTTGGTGGTTTAGGAAGAACACTTGGGGATGGCGGCTCACTAAATTTTGCTCCAGCATAGTTTTGATTGGTTTGAGGCATGAAAAGTGAGTGGGATAAAGCTGGATTCCAAGTCTGGTTGGTTTGGAAATGCACTGTGGTTTTTCCTTCATTGTGCATGGCCTGCCATGCTACAGATGATGGGTTGCAGCCATGTCCTCTCTCTTTCTTGTGAATTTTCTTCATATGGGAATTCTGATCTTTACTCTTTTTTCTATTATTCAGTTGTTGATGGCTCTTGGTAGCATTTCTGGACTGGACAGATGGAACACTGAATCTTTCTCCACCTCCCATCTTCAAGTTAAATGTCACCTATCCAGGGATTGGGAAGAGACAAGAAAAGACAAAACATGTCAGGGAAAACCTAAGAAAATATGGCATGTGATGTAACCATAATCTTTTGTTTAAAAAAAAACACCTTCAATGGCAATGCCAGAGTATATTCAGATTGCAAAGGCAAGAATCAAATAGCTTTATTAAGTCTTCAAATTATCCTGGTTTCAAAATTTGGCATGTAGGCTGGGTTTTGAGCTACCATATTGATGTAACTATAAGCCAAATTTTGCTTAAAAATGGTTTCATCAATATTTTGGATAATAGTACAATTTATTCAACACAAATACTTCTGGAGGTTTAGGATTGCTATGAAATTGAATTCCATAGTACACTGGCTTGTTTCACATACCACAGTAAATTGTGATTTTTGTTTCCAACCATGGTTTGTTAAAGCATAACAGATTAGAAAACATAGCGCAATAAGCCACTTAAAAGAGCTTTTCTGAAACAAAAATCTTTGAAACATTCCATCAGGTGTTTTTTTTAACAACACCAACCTCTTCCCATTTCAGAAAAGGTGCACCTTTCACTGTATAATAAACCAGCAGTTTTAAATATTGGTTAGGTTTTTTTTAAATCTCACCTTTATTACTTTACAAGTAACTCAAGGCAGTGATAATGCTCCTTCCTCCTACTATTTTCCCTATTACAACAGCCCGGTGAGGTGAGGTAAAAGAGTGACTTGCCCAAAGTCACCAGGCTGGCTTTTGTGCCTAATGTGGAACTAGAACTCGGTCTGGTCAAATATATACTGCATGGCAATTTTCCATGCAGAATAAAACCAAAAGAAACAGCCAATCAGATATTTTAATAAGCTGATAAAAAACAAAGATGTATTTAACTAAGTTACTGAATTTTAAGGTACAAAATAAACCATAACTTTTGCACCAGTTTTATTTATTTAAAACATATATCTACCCATCTATTCAACTCTGGGTAGCTCCCACTTAACAAAACAACCTCAATAAAAAGGACAGAATACATATATCTATTAAAACCACAGACGTTAAAAACCTGGCATCAAAGTTAAGTTTCCAACATAATAAATCCTCTTCTTATCCATCTCCCCCTGTCTCAACTCTTAGGGGAAAGCCAGGTGCTTTCTGAAAGGCTAGGAGAGTAGAAGCCTGCCAAACATGAAAGGGGTTGGGTGTTCCACCGGGCAAGGGCTGCCAGAGAAGAAAAGGCAGATTCCTTAACTTCATTACTTCCTACACAAGGAATAAGCCTTCCAAAGAAACAGCAATATATAAAGGAACACCAATCTTTCCCAAAGATATGTGGTTCCCAATTTATGTGGTTCCCATTTACCTTTCAGTTCTGTTTTCAGATTCCACAATGTCCACCTCCTGTCCTCTTTCTTGCTGCCAGACTTGAAAGAAAAGATGCTGACTTTTATTGGATCTCTTTTGGCTAGGAATGGTAGTTCTCATGGGCTGGTTTGCCGTTTTCAGCCACGAAGCCAAGCCCAACATCAGATTCTCGGCACGTGGGCTTCAAGGGTAGAAGTCCCAGCTCTAAAATGAAATTTGAAGTAGAAAATCAAAGAAAGTTCCCAGTTCCAAATAGTGCTCTATTTTTTAAAAATGTTATTTTTATTTTGTTTACAGAGCTATGCTTCCACAAAAGTGCCTTATAAACAACTATTTGGCAAAGGCAAAATATAACCCCCATCTGAATACAAAATATATATTACTGTACCACTCCCTATTTTAAAAGGTATCAAAAGTGGTTTATTTTTGTAGACTAAATTGGAGCAGATTATTAAATTGATACATCACTATAAATTTATGTGAAAATTGTATAAATACTACATATTAATAAGTCTGGGGGAAATGGCACCCAGAATATTTCTGAAAGCAGAGTGCCATAACCAACAAGGCTTCATAAGCTTAATATGTATCTAGCAATTGAACAGGTTATGTCAAATACAAATTCACCATTATTACCTGTATCAAATATTGAGTTTTAGTTTTCAAGGTCTGCTTTGAACAGCCAACAGAAAGATAACCAAATCAAGAAAAAAACCCTCAAAAATAATAAACCTACCCTACAAATGTATATAATATTAAAATTAAACCTACAAATACATACAATACTGAAATTATACAAAAAGAAAATGTCCAAAACATGCCCATCAAATTCACATCAAGAACATATAACCGATGAACCAGTTGTAATCACCTTCCAAAAACCAGAAAGGAGGAGCAGAATTCCAAAGTATGGGAGCAGTGATCAAAAATGCCAAGGTCCTCTCTGATGGCATTCTGATGCAGATGGAGCCTGAAGAAAGTTTACTCTATTTAAGTTGATCAGACAAGGAAATGACTGAGGCAGAAGGTAGTCCAGAGTCCTGAAGGTGGCAACTACCATCATGAATCCAAAAGCCAATCAGTGCAGTTCCTGACAATGAGGTCACCCAAGTATATTGAGATATATTCATCACTGCCTAGGTTGTTGGAATATGGGCAGGTGCTTTCCAAGGACAGGACTCTGCAGACTACGTTATAATCAAGTGGGATGTGACTGAGACCTGAATGTCTACGCAGTCTCCTGACTCAGGAGTGGCCAGATCTAGTCTACAAGACGCAATTGCACAAAACCTTTCCTAGACAAGCAGGAGCATGAACCATCTCTCAAACAAAGCAATACAATTCCATTCAGAATCAGATAAGGAATTACTCTGGAAACACTT